GAGGTAAATTTTTGCGGCCGGAGCTGGTCGTAACCCGAAAAGTTCGTTAGCAGAGGCGTTCGTAACCCGAGGTACCACTGTACAGCATTGAAGTACTATAACTTGTTAGCTGCAGCAACAGAACAGAATAAATCAAAGCCTGTCACAAAAGAAAAGTCTTGGGTTACTTTTGACTTTGAGTAGTTATGTTCATGTCTGTCCATGGATGGATATTAAGTAACAAAAGCTATTGTTTATTTTATAAACATGTCCAAATAATTAAGACAGAAAGGGATATTGGAAAGGGAAATAATTTCAGAATTATTTGGGCGGATTTTTTGTTAATCTTTCATGAAATGTATAAACAGATGGTAGCCAATGGCTGCCCTTAACTAAACTTGGAGATGAAGCATCATTGGGCCTGTTTAGTACTTAGATGGGAGATCTCAGTGAATCCTGGGAGGTGCAATAGAGGCAAAACATGGAAACAGTTTGGGACAGTCTTTGACATTAATATGCAATGTTCAGATTAAAATTAAGTACAAGTATCATTCTAAGCAATAGTGATTGGCCATTAATCTTCTGAGTTTCCGATGCTATACTGGAAGTGACTGTTCTGCAGACACTTACTACACTTTGCCCACTCTTCTGTCACTGAGTAATTGCTTTCTTGTTACTTTGACATCTGATGTGATACATGCACCCTTTTTGGACTGCTGCAGGTACGTCATTTATATGATACAGGAGACTTGAGGGATATTCATCTGGAGATAGAAAATTTGGTGAACTCTAGGACACCGAAGTTATCACGGAATGGTAAGTAATTCCATTTGTTTGATGTGGCTGTCTTTTCTTCTTCCCTTCCTGGAAATTTAAAATTGGATTCCATGCCAGTTGCCATTACTGGTTACATTTTCAAATAGTGCATTAAATATTAAGAGAACATTGGCTGGATATTTACTTAAGCTGTGTAGTAGCCATTAGTGATCTCTTTGACCCTCCAGGCTCTTATAAATACACTTAGCATTTTTACAGTCTTATGTGTAGGAATGAGAACAAAAACACTTCAATTAGAGCTCAAAGTGCATTAAAAGCAGAGAGATAGAGGGTTTTGTTGTACTATTAAAACCAGGAAATTGGTATTTTGTGACAGATGTAACCCTGAGTTTATGAACAACCTTTCCTAGTGTGATGCTCTCTTAATTGTTGAGTTACAGCCTCCAAATTTCTCAGCTAACATGCCCTTTAGTTGTATTGGCATGAAATTCTTGAATCTATAGAGGGCAGCAGTTAGTTTAAATTGATTTATAACAGAGGTGGACAGCCTATGGCCCTGGGGCTTCATGTAGTCTTGAGTTCCATTTTCAATGCCCAAGAAATCCCTCCTAAGCATTTGTTGAAGATTGATCTCACAATTCTTGGCCATTTTGAGTTGGGAAACAGAAGAAAAATGTAGTATTAAGCCGTATAATAGACACCATAGTTAAAAAAAGAAAGACAACTCTCAAAATCCTCCCCAAACCCTAGCTTCATCCACATGTATGATGCACCTCAGCTACTTTATGTTCCTTAGTCCCCTTCCAAATATTACAACTGGCCTTTGTCCACCAGAAGATAGATCACCCATGACTGAGAATACTAGTTATATAGTCACATCAAAAACTAAAATATCTCAATGTTTATTTCAGAGTCTGTGGCCCGCTCTAGCAAACTTCTGGGCTGGTGTCAGAGGCAGACAGATGGATATGCTGGTGTGAACATAACAGACCTTACAATGTCATGGAAGAGTGGCCTAGCGCTGTGCGCTATTATTCATCGGTTTCGTCCAGACCTGATGTAAGCAATAGATTTGCTTATGAATGGCTATCTGAAGAAACTATGATAGCATCAGTCAGGCAATTGAGATGGTGTTTATATTTTCCTAAGCAACAGTAGATAGGTTTTTGTTATAACTTAGAAAATATATTTTTCTCCTTCCAGAGATTTTGATTCTCTAGATGAACACAATGTAGAGAAGAATAATCAGCTGGCATTTGACATTGCTGAGAAGGAGCTTGGAATCTCTCCCATTATGACTGGCAGAGATATGGCATCAGTTGGTGAACCAGACAAGCTGTCCATGGTTATGTATCTCACCCAGTTTTATGAGATGTTCAAGGACTCTATTCCTTCCAATGGTAAGACATGTAGGACGCATCTACTGGAATCTTTCAAAGTTGTAACGTGGAATTGACTGTTCTTGTTCCATTCTAGAACAATTCATTTTCTTTGATGCTGAAAGAAAATGTTTTCCGTGCCTAAACTTTTCTCATATCAAGATAGTGAATACAGTATAGCAAACTGGATTCCCATCTTTCCTTATGGGTCATTATTTTGTGAAGCATCCTGAACTGAATTATTTCTAAGTTGATAAGATAGAAAGGAGGTTGACCTCTCTGCTACTGCCACAGTCACACTGACTTCCCATCAAGACTAGCTCTTTAACTTGGTGATACATTTTCATTGCTGTTAAATTATGCAAAAATGTTCTGGCTGGTTCTGTTAGTTTAATATTAAAGACAAAAATGTGATTTAATAAAAGTAGGAACTTCTAGAGGTAGAAAGGTGAAGTCTTTCTCTTAGAGCAATTCTACAGCTAACATGTTGGAGTGAAGAACATTCTGTATCTGATGTTACCATTTCAGCCAAAAGGATAGTAGCAATAATATCTGAAAATGTAGTTGTGTTGCAAAAGCTGAAGTAATTTTGCAGTAAAGATATGAAAATAAGTTGACCACAGAAAGATAACACCTAATCCATGTTAAGCATCCCTGGTGCTCTCATCTCTGCATGACTTATTTTGTTAATTGATATGGGGAGGGACAGAGGGAGGGAAACATTGTCTTATTACTGATCTCAAATGATCACAAAATCAAGTTCTAGAATGGAAAAAAAATTAAATGGAGGATTAGTTTTGGTCTTTGCAACAGAATGTAAGCAGTGGAAATGCCTACACCTGTGTTGCAAAGAGCCAAATCCAAGTCCCAAAATGGACATTTTTAGGCGAGTCCCTGTTTTGTTATATCTCTGTTGATATTTTATTTCTTCTCACAGATAATCTGGAACTGAATGCAGAAGAAAAAGCTGCTTTAATTGCTAACACCAAATCTCCAATCTCCTTCTTCAGCAAGTTGGGACAGAGCATTTCACGGAAACGGACACCAAAGGTAATAACAGTTGTTTCAAAATAAAAAATCACAAAGTGTTTATATATGAGCTCTTACTTATTCTGGTCTAGCTTCCATGCATGCATTTCTTGCTGGATTGAGAGTAATATACAAAAAGTGATGATATAGTAAGACCATGATTTACTAGCCCACTTGGAGGGAAGGAATATCAGTTAAATCCAAATCTATATTATTTGCATTGTGTAATTATGCAAATGATGTAAATGGTCATAATTTTGTCAGTGTTGGACTCTTTCAGAAATAACAGATTTTGCCCAAGATTTGAGGGTGAAGTCCAAACTAAAATGTTGTCCAGTGCATCCAAAGTCCACTGAATGGAAGTCTAGAGAATCAAGGTTTTTATACTTAATTCCTAGGGCTGTGTTTTGATATGAAGCTTTTGAAGCAGGCTGCATGGTTTTTGAGGGTCATTGAGTAGCTTGGAAGGGAAGCTCTGAGTGGCTGGTACTGACAGTGCCTATCACCCAGAATGATGGTCATTCATTGACCTTTTTTAGACTCTGCATATCTGTAAATATTCATTTTATCTGTTTTGCTCTAGAAAGGTTGCCATTATTTGCTTGATTACTTTGCTAATGATACAAATACAATACAAAATACTTTAATGACCAAGTATAAAATATATACAAG